CTTGTCATTTTTTATCCCACAGTCGACGTGTCAGCCTCCCCTCACCGCACCCAAAGAGTGAGTCTTCTGGGGCCCAGACACGCGTCACCACCGCCCCTGCTGCTGCTCCCCCCAAACGTGCGGAGGGGGCTCTTTCCGTCTGGGGCCAGAACATTCTCAGGAAGCAGAGTCAGCCACCCTCTGAGTCAGTGGCCTGGCAGGCGAGGACTACAAGAGACAGAAAATCGCCCTGGCTGGCATAGCTCAGTGGATTGAGCACGGACTGCGAACCAGGCATTGCAGGTTCGATTCCCAGTTGGGGCATATGCCTGGGTTGCAGGCCACGGCCCCCAGCAACCACACATTGATGTCTCTCTCTCTGTCTCTCTCTCTCTCTGTCTCTCTCTCCCTTCCCTCTCTAAAAATAAATAAATTATATATATATAAAGAAAATAAACACAGGTAGATGGGGGACCAGGAACAGAAATTTAACCTGAGAACAGGCCTTCCTGTGTCCTCACCGGAAGGGAATATGGGTGAACAACTCTCCCTTATCCAGGACTGGGCAGGCTCTGACCGGAAACTCTAGCCCTGCAGGTCAGCCCACAGGCTACACAAGCGGGCTTACTGACCCCTGTGGAGCTGGCCTCCTGGGGAGCTGGAGGGCAGAGGGCAGAGGGCCTGAGGGGGCCTCCCCTTGAAGACCAGAGGGCAGCCCCTGGCAGGGCCCTCTTCTCCCCCCAGCTGCTCGTCTGCCCTGCCAGGCCTCAGGCTTGGGGTGCCCCAAGAGTCACACCCCACGAGGGGCTGCCTCTATGGACCAGTTAGTGTCATGGGAGGGCCCCAGAGCAACTTCCCTCCCCGCTGAGACGCGGATGAGAGCGCGTGATCTACACCCTCACTGTCCCTCCCCAAACCCTCCCAGACCGCCTGCATTCTTGAGGAGTGGCTAGGGCATCGAAGGGGTCTGTGCCGTCCAGTTACAGTCCCCCCGCCACCCTCGCCAATCCCCAGGAAACTGCCCGAAGGCCATCCTGAGGGCCCGGCCCCAGCCCTTGCCACCTCTTCAGGCAGGGGGCCCGACTTGCCTCGCACCGCTATTTGGCGTCCTGGCGCAGTCACTCGCAGTGAGAGGGCTGTCCCAGTTTGAAGAAGGGCAAATCGCAAATGTCAACTGGCTGAGACCCAAGTGCCAGGTTCTCGCCAGAGGCGCCACTTTGACATCAGCCTGCACAGTCTGGAGCCCGTAATGGAAAAAGCTGACAGTCCATTAGCAGCGGAGTGGTCCTCGGGGCCCAGGGGAAGGGGCTGTCATCCGCCTCACTTCAAAGGCTTTGGAGGGCGAAACCAACCGTGTGCGTGTGCACACGGGGGTGTGCGTGTGTGTGTGTGTAATCTTAAAAGAAAAAAGGAATCTCAGTCACAGCTGGGCCTGTTAAAGTGGGCCGACAGAGGACAGTCTGCCCTCACGAAGAGGAAATGGCCACGTGTTTCTTGCACCTGCCCTCCTGACCCCTGCGGCGGTGCCGACACAGTCCCTCGGCAACAGAACAACTGTCGCAGGATCGGAAGGCCCCGGAGGTCTTCTCACACGCTCCTTCTCCGCTCCAACTCTCCGCTCCAGTGTTCCCGACAAGGACTCATCCTTCCGCTTGAATGCCTCCAGTCACAGGGAACTCACCACCCACTGGGACGTGTCAAACATTTCACTTGCAATTCCTCTAAGCTAGAAAGTTCTTCCTGACCTAAGAGCTTAAACTTGGGGCCATGTGACTTCCACCAATCAGTCTAGTTTTGCCTTTGAAGTCTCTCACACACACACACACACACTCATAAGGCAGCCCAGCCTTTTTTCCCCAAGACTGCCTTCTGGTGAGTCTCCCTTCCACACTGACATGGTGGTAAGTGCCCTCACCGGTCTGCCTAGTGCTTTCTGGACAAGATCCAGTTTGTTAATAACATCTTCAGAACGGGGTTCCCACGGCAAGAGGTACAACCTCTGCTGCAGCCGTTTCCAGCGTGAGAACACGTGTATCCACATAGAAATAAAGCTCCCCATTCCACGTTTCGTATCACGTTGTCCAAGGCCTTGCTGAAATCCCAGTGCACTGTAGGCATGGCACGCTCCTGATCGACCACTGTATTTGCTCTATCGAGAAAAAAAGGAACTAGGGAAGGAAAGGTGCCCAGGAACGGACCCAGCTCCCCACCTGCGGCCCAGCGACACAGGGATGGGCAGGACCTGCACCTTCACCGTCTGGACACTAATCTGTTCATTCCACCTTGGATCACATTGACTTGCATGGAGGTCAGACCTCATTGACTCAAACTGAGCTTTGGGCTCAGTCCCAGGCTCCGAGTTTTGCTTGTTTTAGTTAGGCAGTAACAGAAGAGTTAGTAAGATAATAAACTATGTATTGGCACCTTCTTCCTCACCCCACTCGAGGCCACCAGCACTGACTTCCGAAGGCGCCCAGGTGGGGTGTTGTGCCAAGGTCCTGCCAGGGGTCGGGGGAGGAGAGAGAGGCTTTGAGGAGGGGAGGTGGGCGAGGTGGGTCACGGAGGGAACGGGTGCTCCCCTGAGACTTGGCAGAAGTGGGGGTGGGGTGGCAGGCACTAGGGCCCTGCAGGGTACTGGTCAGCAGAGAGGGCTGCCGCCAGGGGCACCCCGAGCCCTTCCAGAGCAGGGTGCCCGAGGAATGAGGTGAGATCCCAGGGCTGAACCTCGGCCCGAAGCAGGAGCAGAGAAGCGACCTTAGAGAGAGCCAGCCAGTGGAACAAGGGCCCAGGGAACGTCCCTGACCTCTGCCCCCCCGGGAGGCCCAGGAGTCCTGGGTGACGCTGCAGGGAGGGGACCAGCCTGCGCCGAGACGGGGGTTAAATTGCTGGCCACCTCGCGGGGCGGGAGGGGGCAGAATAAATCTGACTCCCAGAAATAAAGGCACGTGGCATCGTATCCTGGAGTCATCACTAGAAGTCACACCCACCACGGCGACTGCCGCCACTCCGGGGGGTCTTCCCCCTGGAGGTTGGATGGTGGATTTGGGGGTCCCAGGTATATCTCCTCACGTTTACTCGTGCCAAGCTTTTCCTCTGACCCACCCAAGCAGCCTCCTGATTTGATACAAGCTCTCCCTCCAAGATTCAAAAAACCTGCGATGTGGGCGGCCTCCATCCCATTGGTTGTTACAGGTGCTGAACCCGGCCAGCAGGGGGCAGACGCACGCTCGCTTCCGGAGGCCCCCTCGCCAGTCGATGCCGACAGGCTGATCCTGGGCCCCCTCCCACAGCCTGTCCAGGCTCCCGGGGACTCATCGAACCCGACCAGCGACTTCCCCCCTCCGATGTGCCTCAGGACTTTTTAATAAAAACGGGCAATACCTGACTATATCGTCAGGGGCACTGACCCCCTTTCCCTGTGAATTGTCAAATGAAAAAGGACAGTAGTTAACACGATGGCCGTCCCGTGTGAATGAATCAAAATGATATGTTTTCTTTGGTCAGATTGGCCAAAAATACGTTTTCGGTGTGCCGCAGAATGTCAGTGATTAGGTTGTGTGTGCCACGAGACGGGCAGGCCAGGCCAGCAGCCGCTGAGCCAGGCTGTCATCCATCCCCCCCACCCCCCGCACCCCGGCTCCGCTCAGGAGGATGTATTATTGTCAGACGCCCGGCTGAGAGCCAGACGCCTCTGCCCACTGCATGTTCTCAATCTATCAGCGCAGCGGCGCTATCACGGGGAAAGAGACACGAAGGTGGGAAAGAACAAGGAGACAAGGTTAATTTGGCCTGGCTGGCTCTCGGCAAATCCGTACCGGCTCTGAGTGGTCCCTGCTGTCTTCTCTAAGGGCTCAACAAGTCGGGTCAAATCCTACTCGAATTCATTGCTAAAGATCGTGTGCCCCACCCCCACCCATGCCCCAACATTCCTGTGCTGGTCTCCTGAGGTTTAAGAATCAGAGTTCACAGTCAGACAATAAGAAGTAGGAGGAAAGCAAAGAAAAACTGGAAACTGATAAATGTTTTTTATTAACAAGTCTAAAGAAAACTGTCATTGAATCAGGGGTTGTGATACAAATTACGGTGACCTGCGTATAAAACCTGGCGCCAAGTGTGGCGTTTTAGAAACATTTGTGTATAAGAATATGCATTAAAATCTGCACCAGGACGCAACGCAGAGGCTGACACCCCGACAGGAGTGCTCCCAAAGGTGAGCTGGCTTGCAGACAGCTCTTGGTCGTACCGCCACGGGGCGCGCCCTGTGGGAAGAGCTGGTCTCTGAGGGCAGGACCCCGTGAGCACCAACACGCCACGAGCCTGGCGAGAACAGACGTGGTGCTGGGAGAAAGGCAGGAGGGAAGGGCCGTTTCCCTTGTGACGGGGCCCCGACCACTATTCGAGGACTCCGATCTCTGCAGACAGGCGACCCACAGGAACTCCTGCAGTTCCCAGGTAGGTTCTGTCCAAGTAAGCTGACTAACTCCAACTCAAGGAGCCAAATCATATAACTCGCTGACCTGAAGGATGAAGAACGAACTTGATGTCATTTTCTGCAGGTCAAGCCCCTGAAACAGCCATCAGAATGGTTATCATCGCAACAGGAAAACATAACAATGGCCTCGATGTGTTTCAGTCTTAGACCAAACGCAGCCCAGAAACTATACTTCGGAGGCAATGAAATGAAAAGCAACTCTGATCAGCGTTGGAACTCCCCCACCCTGGGTGCAACCCACCTTCCCACGGGCACCTGAAGCCTCTGGGAGACGCGGGCCAGAGCAGCAGCTCTGCCGTCATGGCAAAAGACACAGGCCCTCCCCGGCAGGGCCCGCCGTGTGTCTGAACGGGGCCAGGACTGGCTGTCTGCTGGCTTGTTCCTTCACGGAGGAGCTGCCGGCCCAGGTCTGCTCATCCTGTGCTGTGCGCGGTGCAAGGTGGCAGCTGTCCCTGGCTCAGGTGCTGAACTGCTGCCCCAGAGGTCAGGCTCCAGGGACGGGAGACACAGGAACAGGCATGGGGGGGTGGGGGGCGCTGGGGGAGGCGGCGGGGGCGGGGCACCAAGACACCTTGTGGGCTGAACGCAGCTGGCGGGGAGGGCAGCGTCTCCACAACTCCAGGGCTCCCCGTGGTTACTGAGAGGGCTGGGAGTCCTCCCGCGACCCCAGCGGGCTCTACAAGGGGGAACGCCCGACTTCTATCCCGGAGCATGATTTTCTCAGCTGCCCCAGGGGTGGGTTTTTTTTTTTTTCCTTGCCAGTCACTAGCTTGATTGTATGGCTGCAGGGTGATCTGACATTCTTCCTTGACTGTGGCAGGAAGAGAAAGCGGAAATGAAGGACAAAAGTCCCTGCATCACAATTTGGGCAAATAGCCGGCAGCCAAGTTCGGCTGTTAATGAGGGACCCTCTCAGGCAGTGGCTCAGAGCAAGAGACAGGTGCTCTCGGGATCACGGGGCCTGACACCAGTCATTACCATACCCTTCAGGACCAAGATAACAGGGGGACATGTGGCCAGGTTACTGCTGCCCTTTGGAGACTGCAGGCCAGCTCAGGTGGCTCCTCCCCAGTCTCAGGGCCCTCTAGTCCACTTTAAAGTGACCCGACAGCACCCTCTAGTGGAAAGCATCAATAAAACAAGGGCCAAGCAGCCAGCTCACCAGCTGACACCAGAGTGGCTTTAAGATTCACCGTGAAACAGAACAAAACAAAAACAAAAACGTTATCTTTAAGAACTTAATAATTTAAAAAAGGTGGGCGTTCACAAGCCACCCTTAGGCCCCTCATTCTCAAATCGCCTTCTCCCCTGAGACGCTCGGCCTGCCCAGGAGACACGCACGCCCAGGGGCGCAGGGCGACGGAGCAGCTCCTCGGTCCCCTCAGAGGCGGGGCAGACTGCCCGCCGGTGCCAGAATGATGCCGAAGACATAGAACAGCCCCAGCAGGAGGTTGAGCTTGGCGGTCCGCTGGGGCAGTTTGTTGAAAGTCTGGCTCCGGAACTGTCTCTCCAGCGAAAAGGCCATGGGGATGGTGAGCAGCGGCAGGGCCAGGCTGATGCTGCAGTGCGTGGCCAGGATGCTGAAGACCAGGTAGGGCAGGAAGAGCAGCGTGTTGTAGAGCACGTAGGAGAGGGTGGGCCCGATGAGGATGGCCAGCGTGACGATGCCCGCCTGGCGGTCGGACTCCATGTCCCTGGTGTTGTTGGAGTGCAGGATGGCCTCGGTGCTGAGGGCAAGCGGGACGGCGTAGACCAGTGGGAAGACCGCCAGGGACCCCACCTGGACGGCGTAGGCGAACACCACGGCCAGCGGGCCGAAGGTGATGAGGATGACCAGGTCTCCCAGGGCCACGTACTTGAATCCAATGCCTACGGCCAGAAAACCCAGAGCGCGGGGGTGAGGTCGAGGGCGGGACGGAGGGCCTGTCCCTCGGACTCAGACGGGGAGGGGGGCGGCCACAGGGGCCCCTTCCCCTGCTGGGCCCCAGCCGGAGGTGCAGGGAACACGAATCTCTGGGCGTGCGGCCGGGGTTCAGGGTCACACCCAGTCTTTCCTTCCTACCGCCCCCGACAGAAATGGAACAGAGAGCAGCAGGTGCCCACGACACACACACACACACACACACACACACACACACACACACGAGGGCCCACCGAGGATCGGAAAGGTCTCACCACCCAGTTTTCCGGTTTCTGTCACCCTTCCCTCCCATCGGTAGCACCGGAGGTACCCTCTGGTTTGGAAAGCCCCCAGTGCAAGTCAGTGGAAGTTCAGGATCCCCGACCTCCACATAAAGCAACCTTCAGCCACGTGGGGAGTGAAACAGCGAAGACCAGGAGGTCTCAGTGCTGCTTCCCCCCTTCTGGTTCCCATCACGTCAGACCTGAGTCCTCTCTAACTCCTCCCCCAGCACCGCCAATCGACTTCGGGTCCTGTGTAGTCTACTTCTTCAAAACCTGCCCAGGTCCCTCCCACCCCGACGGCACGCTCCGGCCGCCTCACTCCATTCCCAAACCCAAGTCATGGTCCCCTTCCGTCTGGAATACGCCAACACCCCCCAAATCGCTCCCTCGGCTTCTGTTCTTATCACAACCTCCCCTCCCTTCCCTAACCTAACCTAACCTAACCTCAGCACGGAGTGACGCTTCAAAACACTCACCTGACCGTGCCCCAGCCCAGCGCACACCTGGAAACCCTCATCCACAGTCATCCTCAGAATAAAGCCAGCCTCTCACCTGCTCACCTTCTGCCCGTGCCGTCCCGGCCCCCCCCTGCCTCTCCCCTGCTCCGACCCCCACCACCCACCCCCACCCCCGCTCTCCGCCCAGCTCTCCACTGCTCCCCTCAGACCGCTTGCTCTCAGGTCCTTGGGCCCTGAGAACCATCCCGCCTGCTGTGCCTGGCGAACTCCGACCCACCCTCCCAGGCCGTGAAGGCCGTCCCCCAGGGCAGCGCCCTCACCCCACACCACGTCCAGTCGGTCCCCTTGCAACAGGCTCCACGGCCCCCTGAATGCCTTCCCCTCCCCCCCCATCGCATCACGCTCCCCGTTCTCCAATCTCTGTCGCCCCCAACAAACGCTCCTTTTCAGAGGGGCAGGGCCTTGGGTCTGGCTTGCTCACAGCGCGCCCCCCAGCGCCTGGCACGGGGGCCGAACTGGACACAGAGCTACAGTGACACGCACCTGCACTCCGGGACCACGGCCGGAAAGAACACCCCCTCTGAGCGGAGCAGGAGAAACGGGCGAGAGTCCCCCCCACCCCCCACGCGAGCCGCCACAGAAGCCCGGGGAGCCTCCAGCAAGACCGAGCTGCCGAGGCGTGGCCCCCGCCACAAGAAACCCACGGGTGGCCGACGGCGTGTCGAGCAGCCTCAAGTGAGAAAGAAGGGCCGGAGGTCTGCAGAGGGTCAGAGCCCGGCGGCTGAGGAACAAGACGCAGCCCAGGCTGACCCCCATGCCAGAAGCCGGGCTCCTGACGTTTGGGTGTTCCCTCAGCTCGACTGCGAATAACTAACACACAGCAAACATTGTGTGAGTTTAAGGTGCACAGCGTGTGGACTCCACACACCCGTACATCACACAACGGTTCCCACCGCTGCGCAAGCGAACACCTCCATCTGGCGGGGACCTCTGGGGCTAAAGGCCCGCAGTTCTTGAGAATGAAGCGTCCCCAGGGAAGTGCACCACACGCGTGGCCCTTACACCCACTGACACGCTGCGAGCTCACTCTGCATGACCCAAGCAGTGTTTTGATAAATAATTTACCCGCCTGAGGACGTGCCTTCCAGGGAGGGGGCAGTTCGCTCAAGCAGAACATCAGCTCAGCCTTAAACTAGCAAACCGATGCCTCTGCAATGTCTCACATGTTCAGGGGACTACAGACGTCCCCCCATCCTCATCCAAGGCCCCCAGCGGATGCCTGCAACCGGAGAGTGCCGAAGCCCATACGTACTGTTTTTTATACACACACTGTATGTACCTCCTCACTTAAAGGGAACATTTACGCCTTCTCTTTGGCACATCCAAATTGCCAGCATCACTACTCTCGCACCTCAGGGCCATTATTAAGTTAAAAGGAAGGTCACTTGAACTCAGGCACTGAGATATCTCAACAGGCAATGTGATAAGCAAGGCGGCTACTAACTGGCTAGTGGGCGGGCAGCGCACACAGCGTGGACATGCTGGACAAAGGAGGGGTGACTCATGTCCAGGGTGGGACGCAGCAGGCCGCGCAAGGTTTCAGAAAACGGAAACTGCAGCAAGTGAAACCGGGGGGAAGGCGGGGCTGCGGCGCCCCCACCCGAGGAAGACGCCCAAGGAAGACGCCCGGCAGGGGCGCTCCCACTCCCAGCCCAGACCTGGCGAGTGTCTCCCCCGGGCCCTACTTCTCTTCAGCTCATGTTCCCAGCCCCACGCAGACCCGAGGGCTCTGGCTGCGGGCGGAAGACACTGGCTCTAAAGCCTCGACTCTGCCCAGGCTACCCAAGAGCACCTCCCGAGGTCACCTGGCAGAAATGCGATATGAGCGGGACGAGCAGAAACACACGCCTGGGTAAGCCCCGCCCCCAACATGCCCAGGAACACCAGCAGCACGCCCCCTCGAGGGGTGAGGAGGGTCCGAAACCCTCCTGGAGGTCGCCTGACACCAGCAAGTGCTGGAGCCCCCAGGGAAGGCCCGGTGTCCTGAGCGTCCGACATGCGGCTCGCCTGCCCACCGACTCAGAGGTGGGCCCACCCGGGAGTTTCCTCTGCGGCATTGCCGCCCCTCCGACACCATTCTCCAAGTGAACCAGCACAGTGAACTATCGGGCTAGTTCTCCGCACGGCAGCGGAAATGAACTTGCTAAAATATGAATCAAAATGCTGACCAGAACGCCGGGCACCTGGAACGCCCACACGCTGCCGACCACATGGGGAGACACTCTGGCAGCTTCTCGAGAAGTCGACCATCATCTACCCCGTCACTCAACAGCGCCATTCCAAGGCACTCGCCCAAGGAAAGCGAAAACAACTATCCACAAAAAGACTCAAACATGAACGTTCGGGCACGATAGCCGTAATCTGGAAACAAGCCACACACCGATGCCCAGGCGGCCGAAGACACCAGTCCTGGTAGGTCTGTAAGACGGGCACCAGACGGCGATACAAAGGGGCCGCTGACGCCCATCGCAGCAGGACGAATCCCAACAGCCTCGGGCCGAGCAGCAGCCAGGCCCAAGGGTCCACACCGAATAGTTCCACTTACAGGACGTTCTAGAGCAGGAAAAACAAATCTACACACAAGAAACCAGAACACTGGTCGCCTCTGGACAGGGGCAGGGAGCATGGTGACTGATGGGAAGGAAGCAGAAGGAAGCTTCCGAGCGTGATGGGAATGCTCTGGCGTGACGGGGTGTGGGTCACACACACAGCGGTGTGCACCTGCCGAGGTCAGCACACCGGGACGCCAAGGACCTGCGCACTTCACAGTACGACGTTGATGTGTAATCGGCAATGTTACGGAAAACCTGTAAAACCAGACTCTGTCATTACTGGTTTTATGCCCCTGTTTGTTCATTCAATAACGAAGCACTGACCACATGCAAGGCACACGGGTTTGGCAGAGAACAGAGTCTGAAATCCCTAACCCCAGGCCACTTACAGTGTAAGGCGGACGCTAATGAACGAAGTCAGTACTTGTTTGTGTTAAAAGGCAGTGCTCGCTGTCATGAAAAAGCAGAGAGGAGCATTAGGGAAAGCTGGAGCGGGGGGCAGGGGGCATGGGAATCAGGGTGCACATGTTTGTGTGTAACTGTATTTATTCTCTCAAAGCTGCTGCAAAAAGCTTTGCTTTGTAATTTTGTTGTAAATAGGATACTCACTAAACAGCTGACAAATGGGTGGAGGAGGTCAGAAAGGGCATCACACAGATAGAACGGGGAAGAGCATTCCGAGTCCAGGAAACAGACTCCTCAAAGGGTCTGTGAGGCGGGCGCATTTCTGGCCAGTCCGGGGGACGGAAGACAGAGGGCAGATCGGAGCTGGGTGGACTGGAGAAGGTGGGCAGGTGACGGTCCTGGGATCACTGGAAAGACCTTGGCCTTTACTCTGAACAAGATGGGAGCCCTTGGAGCATTCTGAGCAGGGGACTGACATAACTGCCTTATGTGTGTGTGTGCACAGGGTCACTCTGGCTGCTGCCCTGGGAGCACCCGACAGGGACGGGGTGGGTGCCGGGGTCCGTGAAGAGCCTGCCGTGAAACTCGAGAGAGGAGAGCGGCAGTGGCAGAACGTGGTGAGCAACGGTCAGATCCCAGACACATTTAAAAGCAGAGTCATCGGGATCTGCTGACAGACAGGATGCAAATGAGGAAGAAGAGTCAGCACGACACCCATGATTCCCAGGGTGACATTGCCATCGACTACGCGGGGGAAAGCTGAGGGAGAGCAGGTTTCTTTGGGGAGAAGGTCAGAATTTGATTTCGGACGTGTTTAGCTGGAGACGTCTGGAGATCTCTAAGAGGAGTCCCTGAGGAAGCAGCTGGATGTGAGTCTGGAGTTCAGCGGAGAGGTCTGGGCCAGAGGTATAAACCTGTGGGTCACCAGCTTAACAGACAGCATCTGAAGCCATGCGACTGGCCCAAATCCTGAGAGGGGGAAACGGGGCACAGGAAAGCGGTCCAAGGGTAAGCCTGCAGGTTGGGAACGAGCAGGAACCAGCACAGGAGGCCGAGGCCCTGCAAGGCCAGCATGACTTAGCCCCCTCTACCTCTCCAGTTCTATCTCCATTCTCCCTCCCGAACAGATTGGCCTTCTGGAACACCCTAGAAGATGCCACGCTCTCCTGCATTCCTATGCATTTACATTTGCTGCTCCTTCAATCTTGAAGGATTCGGCACCTGAATCAGACCCCAATTCTGTCCCACAGCTGGCTCCTTATCCATCAAGTCCGAGTTTAAGCGTCACCTTCGCAGAGCGGGCCTCTCCCCCCACTACTTCCTTAGACATTCTGTCACAGCAGCCACTGAATTCCTTTACTGAACTTTCTACAAACAGCTGCCAGGACATCAGTCTCTTGGCATTCTTTCTCCTCCAGATGCTCCGCCACAGCTCCCTTCGCCCAGTCTTTCTCTTCCCTTAATGTCCGAGTGCCCAGGGCTGTCCTGGTGCCGCTCACACCTCTGTCAACACTCCCTCCACTGGTGGTCTCACCCTGTCATGCAACTTTATCTCTGTGCCACGGATTCCCAAGTATCTGCATCTCCCACTCAGACCTCTCGCCTGAACTCAGACTCTTGTATCCAACTGATGTCATCAGGATACCAACCCACCCTGACTTACCAGGGACTTTAGTGGTTTCGGCATCCAAAGTCCTACATCCTGGAAACCCAGCTTTCACAAGAGCAAGGGTCTGTGACTGCTGTGTTCACAGATAACAAACAGTGCTGGCACATAATAAGCGCTCAATAAACAGGGCTGAGCCACCTGGCCATCACGACCTTAGTCAGCTTGCTACAGTGAGTCACCTAGCAAACTAGCTGAAGAAAGCACAATTTTGAGCTCTTCAAAGTGACTTTCACTTAAATTTGAAACTGGCATTACAGATATGACCAACAAAAAGAAACTAAAACCAATATATATGGAAATGACTCATATATATATACATACACACACATATATATGAGTCGTATGACTCATGGAAGGTAAAAATGCAACTAAAACTCGAAAAAACCGACATGTGCAGTGTATGGGTCCGGTCATCACTCTTCGTGTAGTCGACGCCCTTGGGAAAGTCACACGAAGTGTTGGTTATATACATGAATATATATACATAGTATGTGTGTGTTTGCATGTATATATCTATGGATATATATGCGCATATATATATATATATATATATATATATGTATGTATATACGTCTAACATCCATAAGCCAAGTCAGGATCTTCTTAATCTACTACTCTTGAAAATAACCCACATTGCTCTGACCAGTGTGGCTCAACTGGTTGGAGCATGGCCCCCCAAAGAAAAGGTCACTGGTTCGATGCCTGGTCAGGGCACATACCTGGGTTGCAAGTTCAGTTCCCAGTCAGGGCACATACGAGAGGTAACAGGTCGATGTTTTCCTCCCTCTCATTCTCCCTCCCTTCCCCTTTCTCTACAAATAAATAAAACCGAATCTTTCAAAGTAATCGACATGACCCACACACCGTCGATTTCACACAGTGGCCTGAGAAAAGAGCTTTTGACATCAGTCCTCTACTTCTAACTTCTACACAAAGCAGTAGTTTCTAGGACATGCAACTAAGGCTTCCAGCACAGGTATCAGGGCAATTCTTACCTCCTGTGTAGAGAAAGGAGCCAGACAGGCCTCCAAAGTAGATGAGAGCCAAATGCTCCAGCTTCAGAGGGGACAGGTAGTAGAGGCAAGCGGCACAGACACAGCCCAAAGTGTAGAGGAAGACTCCAAACCGGACAACATCCTGGGGTTCCAAGATCCGGTCCACTAGGGTCCTGTCATCACTCTTTTTGTGGTCAATGCCCTTGGAAAAGTCATAGTAAGTGTTGACCAAATTGCCAGCCCCGTGCACAGCCAGAACTGCCACGGCACAACCCACCAACAGCCTGGGATCCAGGTAGCCCTGGGATCTATAGGCCAAGGCACTGCCCAGGGCTACCGGGGTGAGTGAGGCACTGAAGCTCCAGGGCCGCAGGGCCAGCACATAGGACGCGCACTTCTGCCTCCAGGAGCGCGGGAGGGGCCTGTCGCATTCCAGACAGTCGTTCCCCTGCAGCTCCCCGTCCCCGGCCGTCTCTCCTGCCTGGATGCTAATCTTCTCCCCCTGGACCTGCGAGGCCGCCATGAAGGTGCACGTGGCTGAAATCAAAGTTAACAGTGAGCCACCCACAAAAGAGCGACTGCGAGTGACGTGGGGAGGGACGGGGCGGGGCGGCGGGGTCTGACCTTCCACCAGTTCCGCCCCGGGGCAGGGCCGGGGAGGCAGAGGGCCCCGGGGCAGCACCAAGCAGGCCTGGCACCCCACGAGGCGCAGTAGCACCGTTCGAGCTTCCTGCCACTTGAGCGAAGCCTGTTTCCGGACTCCAGCCCGGAACTAGAGCCCAAGGTTGACAAGTGGCCGCCTCCCCGGGGTTTCTGGGGCTCCTGGGGCTCCTGGGGCCGCCATCTTGTGCGCCCGCCTCTGGAGGCCGGCCGGGAAACAAGGGCTGACCCAGCGGGCCGAGCCGAGAGGGGCGGGGCCGGGGCTGGGGGCGGGGCCGGGGCTGGGGGCGGGGCGGGACGTCAACGCGGAGGTCCAGCGTTTTCCACGGCGCAGGTTTGCACCGGGCAGCTGGGGGACAGACTTGGCGGATACAGCCTCGTTTAAGAGTCACAGGATCCACCACCAATAAGTGTGGCTTTCCGACTTATCAAGAGCTTCATTCACCGAAATAGGACGCATTCAATTTTTTTCATGCGGTATGCATGCAACAGGTATAAATACTCCTACTATGGCAGATTTCGAGCTACCACAGGATGTCTGTCACTCAAAAGCCAGGAAGAGATGAGCAGCAGCACGTTGTCAGATAGTATTCCCACTTCCCACAATGCAATTACAACAAATGCGGACAGCCCGAAGAGCATAAATGATAAAATGTAGCAATTAGGAGGTAATAAGCTTTGAGTATTTGTTACTTTTGTTTTTAATATAATTTATCTAATTGTACGTTTTGTGTAGTTTAACTTTGAATAATGGCTGTTCTTAATGACTGGCTCACAAAATTCCTAGAAATTTGACTGCCTCTCTCCAGTCAGAAGGAGCTCTTCCTGGCTTTTGAGTGACATTCATTGGTAGGTCGAAATCTGCCACAGTAGGAGTATTTATGCCACGCAAATCAGCAGATGCTTGATAATTGTTTTGCTGGTCATCTAGACTTAAGAAAGTGACTGAAAACAGTTTATCATGCAGTTTAAACTTAAAAGTGTGTTCACTCAGTAGCCGGTAGGTTGTGAATAACAGCAACAAAATTTGAGGAAATGTTCCAGTATTGGAAAATTATTATTTGATTTGGCAAAGAAGCCTTCATATCATTCACAAACTGGTGAAATTTCAAGATCTCTCTTGATTGTTTCACTTCTCCTTATTCATTAATGTAAGAGAAACTATCAACCAATATTCCTGTTGGAACTATACTCATTGATCAATTGCAACCATAGGGAGGCTGCGCAATATCCAAACATAAAAGCATACTGCTAGAATCAATTGACTATGTGAAATTTACAATAAAAAGTATTGTGTAGTTTATTCTGTGTAAGTGTATGCTGCACATCCTTTATATCAGCGAAAATTATAAATCAAATATTTATATACACACACAGACTGACTACATAATTTTGGTACCCAGTGCAAAATAAAAATGTAGGGCCCCTTATGCAAAACTCATTAAGAATTTCAGGACAGAGCATAATGACCTCACACGTCACAACCACCAGGAAGCCAGCTCTACACAGACATACTTCCCTACCAGCAGCTGGTTGTTAATTTACAACTTTAGCATCCAGCACATATCTGCAATGCTGGCCAAACGCAGGTATCCTATGCTACCAAATGGGACAAGAGGAAGCATGTATTTTTAACTCCTCACTTACCAGCTCTATGACTTACTCCCCCTGTATGCCTGCCAGTGTACTAATGGATAAAGTATAAAATGGGAACAATACGACCTACTTTGTAGAAACATTCATAAATAACAATAACAGCATTTATTGACTGTATGTGTCATGTAGTGTTTTATGTAGTTTACATGCATTATTAGCATTTAACCCCCACAACAGTGCCTACCACGGAAAAGTGGACCCTGAGAAAAGAAGATACCTACAAGAAGGGCTCCTGGTGGTTCCTAAAAAGATACAAACAACAACAGAAAAAACAGAGCCTAACAGCCGGCCATTTCTAAACTGGGGCCACTCATGTAAACTACACTTCAGTGAGAAGCTGCCTGCCTCCACCGAACTGCCTGCCTGCAGTGTGCTCCTGCCACGTGAGCCAACCTTTATGATGGATATTCGGGTATCCTATTTCCATCACTAGCACTGAGATTGTCTTTCAACCAGAGCTGGGCAACTATATCCCCATCAACATCTTCACTGGCCAATCAGAACAGCTCCATTTTGGCCAATCAGGAAAATGCCTTTTGGACCAATCACACTGTGAGGATTTGGAATCCTTATCTGCATAAGGACAGACCAATCAGGGACCAGGGGCTGGGATTTCTGCCTATATAAGAACTTCGCTGAAACTCTAGACGCATACTTTCCCTTAGAGGCTGTGTTTGGAGAAACGAAAACCCAAAGTCCCAACGCGTGTATTTAGTACACAAGTAATTGACGGTAATGTATAAAGAAAAACAAAAGTATGCTTTCTGAAGTTCCAGTACATCTTAGTTATACATTTTACCCATGGTAACAAACACGTAAGAAATATGTAAATTTTTTTAAGGATTGTATTATACTTATATTGTCATGCAACGTAGTTTTTAACAAATTGTGAACCCTTTTCCTTCTTAGCAAATACTCATTTACAATACTATTAATTGCAACATGTTTCCCTTAATATAAGCGAATCATATTTTAATCAGACTCCTATTGTGAAATGTGTAGGAATTTTCGATATTATAATAAACACTGATTTTCAATCGAAATGTAGTTAATTGCTTTTTGGAAAAGTTTTTTAAGTGATGTTTTGAAATTAAGAGATCATTTAGTTAAAATTTGGCTATGGTTTCTCCTGAATGATGTTGTGAGCTAGATACTTTTGGAAAGGTGGGTAATCTAGGTAAAAAAAAAACTTTTCAAACGCATATTACATTTAACAGAAGAGAAATCACGGTCCCAAACTCCGAAAAGTAATTTCAGGACGCTGGCACAGCTCACATGTCCTTTCATAAGTATTCTGGGAAGGGTCGCGAGCCTCCGCCTACCGGCGCTTAGTACCATCTCAGATACCCTACCGCGGACTAGGCACGGTTGCACGCCCCCGACACAGAGGGGAATTATAGTAGCGCTGCACCGGATGTGTGCGTGGAAGTGACTGAAGTCAACTCACGGCGGATTGGTTCTCCCGAGTGCATCGAAGCCTCTTTTCGCCTGCCACTGGCCGCGTGGTTTGTCTATTTGAATAGTCCCCGCCCCCTGGGGAAGCCGGTCCGAAGATTCGCTTCTCCTTCATTCCTATTGGTCGCTATTCCAGTCCATCGTCTTCTTACGCCTGTCGATTGGTCCTTAGGCCTGCGAAACTGCCCTCCTTCCCGCCCGGCTTGGAGGACAGCGGGGAAGGCGGGTGGTAGGGCCGGGGGGCCTGAAGCGGCGTTACCGGCGTTGGCGGCGGCAGCTGAGGCCTTGGCCGAAGCCGCGGGGTGAGTCAGGAGCCTGGCACCGACCCTTCCAAGGCGACGGCATGTCCAGACCTACAAGCCAGCCTGGTCCGTGGGGTGGGCCTTGGGGAAGCCGCCCGTCTGGGACGTGGGGTCCTTTGAGAGGCGGCCTTACGGACTTGGGGCCGGAGCCCTTGACTCTCACCCTGTGAGGCAACGCCCACCTCCTCCCGGACCCCCAGGAGACTCCCGGTCCCTTGAGCCTGCCTTGCGTGTCTGGCGCCGCGAGGGCCGGCCCATCTGCCCCAGTACTACCGGGACGCCTGTGCGTCTCCGTGCCCGTCCGTCACCACCTACAAATTGTCCTCAGAGGGGACCAACGTCGGTGTAAGCCTCTTGCACTCCAACCTGGAGACTTCTGTAGGACCCGTTCCGGGAACCTAAGCTCGGTTGCATCCGTGGGTTTCACCCTCTCTGCCTCCCCAGCCCCCATTCCTAGTTTCACCCAACTTGAACTTCTGTAAGCCCTAGCCGAGAGACCCTTAGGATATTTGACTTCCAGTATTTTGATTGGGTTCTGCGTAGAGCAGATGGCCTATGGGCCTTAGACTTATAAAGATAGGCTGGTTCTTTCCGGAGAATGGAAATTCCTTGCCAGCCTCCCTCCCTCTCATCACAGACGCAGTCACACACTCTGGAGGAGTTTTCGCTCATCAGGGACCTCGGGTTTCCTCTCCCTGGAAGTGGGACACTGCCTATTGCAGTCATTTTCTTGGCATTGGAGTCTGTAAAGGCTTTTCAAAACCAGTTATTCCTTTTTTTTTCCTTTTTGATATTGCACAGATTCTTTGGAAAGAAAAATTTGAAAAAATTGATTTTCTAGTATAATGTGGACATACCTAGGATAGGTATGTATGTTGCTCACCTAGCTGTCTGGGCTGAGCCGTCGTGTGGCCACTTTATTGTGGTTGCCTCATCATTTGTATTTCCCCCCCAGATGTAAATTCATTGAGGGAAGGGACAGTACATAATTCGGGAATGAATGAATGGTCTCTGGAACTAATCTGTCTCTTTCAGTTCACACTTCAAGTACTAGTATTCTGTAGAACTGCACTGTCCGATGCAGTAACCACCAGCCCCATGTGGCTCAGAGCTCTTGAAATGGGACTAGTCCAAACTGAGATTGTCATAAGTGTAAGGTGTACACTAGATTTTGGAGACTCGGTACAAAAGAAATGAGACGTATATCCATTTTTTATATTAATAATATATTGAAATGACATTTGGGATATATTGGGTTAAATAAAGTATTCATTTCACCTGTTTCTTTTTACCTTTTTTTGATACGGCTACTAGGAAATGTCAAACCACGTCTGTGGTTTGTGTTTTATTTCTGTCGGACAGTGCTGCTATAGAATAATTGCGCCCTTTACATTGCACTCTTTGAGGAAGGAGGCAGTCGTAGGCATGTTTCATTCGCTCGCTGCCCCCCCCCCCCCCTTTTCGTGCCTGGTCCTGCACCATGTGCGTAGTAGCCGTAGTGACAGTCATGGCTAACAATGGCTAAGCACTCACGGTGTGCCCAGCCCTGTTGTAAGTGCTCTTTAACGTGTGCTAACTCATTCATCCTCACGTTCGCCTGAGGAGTTAGGTGTTATTATCCCCCTATGGCAGTTGAGGAGACAGACATTTTAAGTATCTTCTCTTGGTATAAAATTTGGGGCTGGACTCGGACTTAGGTAGTCTGGCTCCACGGCCCACAACTTGACCCTCTGACTCTGCTACCTCTGTTAAACACGAGTCCTCATTGAACACATGGAGGCCTTCTACAGGTTCTTC